TATATCGGAAGGTAAATATAAATGTAGGGGGTTCATGCATCATGGGGAATGTTTTCATGCTTCATGGGTCGTTTCAAATATCTTCCTTTATTTTAAGCATACCTGAGTAGCAGAAAACGAATAAGCCTTTGAATTTGTAGAAGATCCTTCTCCGAAAGCCGAAATTGCATCTCCAATTCGTTGTATCACGTTCAACATAGAAAAATTAAATTGAATCAATAGCATGTAGATCAATTCAATAAAATAATCAAATTAATCATGAAAATAATGATTAAAGACGTAATACTCCCCAGATTGAAAATCAAACTCTTTTGTCAGCGCAGCGTCAAGAGCGTACTGATAACGTGTTGTAGGCATAATTTACTGAACAATTATGGAGGCCATAGAGAGAGAGGGGTGCGGCATGGATAAAGAGAAAGAGAGAGATGTGTAATTGTGAGGTGTGTGTTATTCCACCCCATTGTGCCTTTATTTATAGTAGTAGGAAGGGTAAAACTTTTTCCTTTAGGATTACAACATTTAATAGGTAATCTAATCCTAATAGGAATATAAGATACATTCCCAGATTTCCTAGGATTTACACAATCACATTCCTATTCTAAATATGACTGCAACAAATAGAACTATATATGTAAAATTTAAGATATAAAATTTTTACCATAATTACAACATAAAAACTGGTATATATAATTTTATTTAAATTTATTAACCCATTAATGGGTGTTGCGCCGTATCAGAGTCGGAATATACTTTTAGTTTTATGGCTATAAGAGAGTTCCAATGATGATATAATTGTAAAACAACTAACATAATAAAAGTTAATATATTTTTTATTGGAAAGAAAACATAATTAAAAACCCACGAAACGGAGAAACTGTCGTTCAAGTTCCCACTAGTCGCTTGCAGTTATATTTGGTTATCCCCACAATTCTTCTTTTCACATCGTTCTTTTTTTCTAGGTCGCAAAAGATTATTCACTGATCTCTCTCTATAAATTTGGTATGAATTGAGTGGTCTTGTAGTTGCATTTGGCTCTTTTGCGATACTCTCACGATCTCTCAAGCTCGCAGCCCTCTCACTGTCTCTTTCTCTCAGTGAGTTTGATTTGGATTGTCTCTCTCTCAGGTTAGAATCTCAGTTTCAGACTATATAGTCTCGATTCTGGTAATTTTTCTTGCCTCTTGATTCTGGTATGTCAGTTTCCTAGAGTTTCTTTCTACGAATTTTCTTGGTATTTCATCATTTTTCCACAAATTCTAACCCTATCTATTCTCCATAAGTTCTCTCGTTGTTTAGGGTTTTTTCATTTTTTTATATGTTTTACTTCCTCACTAATTGCTAATATTGAGGATTTTTTGTAATTGGAGCCATTCTAACCAGTTCGCTGGCTCTTTTTTTTTGTATATATATATATTTTTAATTGTTTTTGTCATTTGTTATCACTGATGATTTATAATGTAATTGTTGTTTTGGGATTTTAAAAGTATGTTGAGGAGGTACGTTGATGTGCCATCAATGTCAGAGGAACAACAAGGATTGGGTAGTTCGCTGTAAAGAGTGTAAGAGGAAACGATTTTGTATTCCTTGCATACAGAACTGGTATGCATTAATCTGCTCTATATTGCTTTAATATTTGTGATTATAACTTACTAAAGATCGATGTTGGGTTGGTAGAATCCAGTAAATGACCCATGCTTAATTACTGTAATGTAAGCCCCATGGAAAACTGCCATCTCTCCACTCTCGCTCTCTCACATACACACAGGAAAGCATGCACATTGATATTCATATGCTTGATACTAATACATGAGGTCTATTTGTGTCTCTCTTTCTAGATTTTCACTATTGTTTTTCATGTCGCAATACTCTAGCTAGTAAGAAAGTTAATCTATGATAGTTGGTTTGAAATAAAAAAAGGAGCCTTTAATTCTAGCGATCATTTATTTTTTACAGGCACCATGTACTCAATTGGACCATGATTGCTTGCGCCTTTGTGTAATTGATTTTGTGGATTTAATTTTTTTTGTATATGATGTCCTTGAGTGATAAGTTTTGATTTCTAAGCTTGATATTTCTCCTTATGTCTCATAGGTGGTTGGTGGTTCTAATTCATGAGGGTTTATAACTCATATCAACTACTACATTTACAGATACCTGCAAATTTGAAGTGTGATTGGCGTGCTGGAGATGTGTGTCTTCTTGAAGAAACGATTGTAGGGAAGACGAATATCATTGGAGTATCAAGGTTGGAACTAGGACTTGATCAATTTTGTTTTGGAGTGTGAAACAAAGTCTATACATGTTTTGGTACATAAATGTAAAATAAAACTTAGTGAATTTGTGTAAATGTGCAATTTTGTAAATAAATATCTTTATTATATATTTATATATTTATTAAATAATATTTTTTATATTTTTTATTTTTTGATTTTTTTTAATAACGGGCACTAGCTGTGATCAATTTGTAATCCACAATGGCCATAACACGTGATGTTAGCTCTCAATCTATCACGGACATAATTTGTGGTTACACTGCATTTGACAACGGGCATAGCCCGTGGTAGAAACAAAGACTTTTTACCACATCCAGAATACTAACGAGCATGATGCCCGTGGTAGATTGTAATTTATCATGGGCATCCACCGTGATAGATGGGCTTTTTTCTTCTAGTGACTGTTTTCGTATTGAAATTTTAACACATTATTATATAAGTTTTTACACTCAAAATATCTTTATATATATATATATATATATAGCAAATATATAGTACTGTATTGATGATAGTAACGACTGTGATGACTTGGATACGAAGCTGGAACTTCTATGATGAATGTGCCAACGATGACATGAAATAGACTTATAATGCAAGCTAATTTAAAATGAGCCTTGGAATCCAGTTCACTACAGGTTCTCTAAGCCTGATCATGATAAGCCGCCTAGCGCATTGGACAGCAAGTGAAACAAAAGTGGGCAAAACTGAAGTGAACACAATGATATATCCCTATCACCGGCTTCACTCGGGAAGATTAGTAGAAGATCAAGAGGTGTGATACTGTACCATCTAATAATTTCTCCTGGTTTACAGTGTCTACTTCCAATGCGCTTGGAGTAGTTCCATAGCCAACTAACCATTCCACCACCTATGAAGATTCTCAGCTTTTTATATATACATTTTTTTTTCAATTATTCTAACCACATATCTTCTTTTGTGCTCTGACCAAATATTATTTTTCCTTCATATCTTTCATGTTTTAACATTGGCTCATAATATGTTGATAAGGTTGGATTTGGTCAAAATTTATGAAATAACTTGGTATATCTTTAACAAATTGGTATTTGTAAAATAATAATGTCAACATTTCTAGTTTGAATAAATTCTGTTTCAAATTCAAAGGAAAGGCCGGCTTTATGAGTGTCAGTTGCTTAAGATAGTGTGACCACTCTTTTGCATTCAAGTTTGAATCTTTACTTTGTGGACTACAGTAAATTAAAATAAGGAAATTATATAACTTCACTCTAGATCCACTTTAAGCTTTAAATGTGATTGTCACTCTATTGTACAATTACTATTAAGTACAAAATGAAATTAACAATAAAACAAAAATTTATCAATAAACCCACACCCAATAGTCAAACATTTACTATCACACAATCTTTCTCTAATGTTCTATTTGGCTAAATCTTGAAGACGCTCATCAAGCACTTTTTGACGAATGGGTGCTAGTTTTGAAGTTTTTGATCCTTCAACTAAGGTATGAATCGATTTATGCAAGTTTTTTTAATTTATTGTTTTGGTTTCTGAGTAGACGACCAAGTTGTGCTGCTCAATCTTCTCATTCTATAGCCTTGAATTTCTTACACCCCAAATGCTCATAAAAGCATCAGAAAGTGGGCAAAAATGGTGTTATCAAGCTTTTCCAAAATGGTAATTGCATAAAGGATGGCTTTATGTCATCTTCCGATAAATTAATTCTCACTAATTCTTATTAGTTTTGATTTTTATAAAATAATGAAGAAATGAAAGGAAAGACGACTGACATGTTGGAAGAAGACAACGTTAGAGGAGAGGACATATGTTTTGATTTTGGGTTTTGTTTTATGAGGTTTATTTTGGGTTTCTGAGGATAGTTTAAATGGATCTAACAATTTCTTACATGATACGAAAATGATAAGAAAATAACGGGTTTTAGGTCAGCATGATAACTAATCGGATCGTTATTGGGTCATCCTTTAAGAACCGTTAATAACAGGTCCTTAACGGGTTTACACACAAATAACCCATGGGTAACCCGTTTCTGCCCACTAAGAAAAACATTATTCAAAGTTAAACTACTAAAAAAACTTACTATAAAATACAATAGTCATAGTGTGTGTGTATATATATATATATTGTGTATATTAAATATGTATTATTGTATTATTCTCTGTATAAGTTTTAAAAAAAAATTAAGTTTTGTTTATTTATTTCTGTTATGAGAGTTTCTTATTAGAAGCTGCGACACGGCCATATGAGCCGCGACGTCGATCCAACCATGGAGCGAGGCAACATGGAGCGAAGTGTGGTGGGAGGGGCAGACCGATGAAGAAGACGTAGATGGGAGGGAAGAAGTGGGGAGGGGCGAAGGTCTAAGGGCTGGTTTGGTATTGCTGTGCTTTGAAAAAAAGCTGCTGTGAGAATAAAGCAGCAGAGTGTTTGGTAAACTTTTTTGTAAAAATGTTTTTAGAAAAAAAAAGCTGTATGATAGCGTTTGATAAACTTTTATGTAAAACAGCTGTGACTGTGTGAAATGACCAAAAATAGTATAATACTCTAATAATTTAATTTTCTTACCAAAAAGGGTATAATATTTTATTTTTAGAGTTTTTGTTATGTAAGTTAGTTTTATCGGCACGTTGGAATTCTTTCTCATTAGCAGTATTTGCAATACATGTGCCTTTGTTAGTCCATATTTATCTTTTAGTTGATTAAAAGGAAAATAACCCATCACAAAATAGTGTGTACAAAATGACTGAGACCTTGTTATATTAATGAAGACTCGTAAATAAAATGGATCCCTCAAGATGGATGGATTACTCGCTAATAATTATACGATCATCACACTAGATCCAAATTCTGTCTGCCGGTTCCCAACCCCCTCCCCCCAATACATTTGTATATGCATACTTGCAATAAGGGAAGATGAACAAACGTTATGACCATGATTTGTGATTAAGCTGTATGAATTCTGCTTATTTCTTTCTATTTTTTCTTCAAAGCAGATGGAGAGCACACGTTTCTGCACAGTCGGTCAATGGATGGATAGCAACGGGGACAAGTAGCGTTGTTGAAAGCATCACGGTACTGACTTTGAGTCCACAATGGGATGATCTTTGGCTGGTCGGCTTTGAAGGCAGCAGGAACACATGCGGTGATGATGTTGACTAGTGATTTGGTGAAAGCAAAGCCAAAGACAGTTTAATAAATACACATGCATTTAAAAGATCCTGCATAAATACAATAATAGCATCAGTGCATCAGAATTATAGAATTGAGATTCTTTCCGGTTCTCATTGTTTGAAGGACAAGGACCAGCAAATTCAATGCATAAATACAATGCTAGTTTTGTTCGCAGTAAACCAACAACACACACAGACCATAATAGACACATTTGGCAAAAGTTTAATCCTCACTATAATAGTGATCTGTTAGACAACTACCAAACCAAGTTTGCAGGAGAATTCAGAAACTCTCCATAACCAAGTTTCATGTAATGGTGGAATGAACAATCCTCAAAGTAATAATGAAATAACATTGACATGGGAAAGTAAGAAAAGGAAAGTACAATATGAGCTGTTGATTTTAAATTTATGCAGCGAGCTCAAGAAAGGATATGAGGGCAGACTCAACTGAAAACGAAAACCAATAGCGCAAAAGTTTCAGCGTCCTGATATCAACATTGTGTACTACCTACACCAGAAGAACAATCCCGAATATTTTTCTCCAGCTTCAACCATATAAAATACCAATAATGAACTATACCCCAGAAGGTTATTAATCAAACACAACCAACCATAATCACAGAGGCCAACTCTACAGCTTCGAAAAGTTTAGAACCATAAACTTTTCCCAAATTGTTCGATTGAAAAATTAGCCGACTGAACCTTTATCCGCACTCAATTTGTCATCAATCAATGTGAAACCGAATCAAGTTTCAGGGTATGATCAAATCCCCATACCATACAATAACCAGCATGAATACTAATGGCGAAATAACAAAAAAATTGAGATCATTGATTTCCGATTCTCAAATACAAATGCACCAACGAGCTATAACACTTACCCAAATCGTACCTAAATTTCATATCAAAGAATTCAGAAAAAAAAGAAGAAGACACATAGCATAAATGAAGAATTCAGAAAAAAAAATATATGTAAAACATGATAGCACTGAGAGAGAGATAAGATACGAGCACTGACCCGGAGGTTGGAGTTTCAGAAGAGACTGCGAGAGCTTTAAGAAGACGATGAAACGGCGTCGAAGAGGGGTGAGCTGAATTGCAAGACACGCATGACAAATCAGAAGCACAGTTCACAGATCAGAAGCAGAGCAAAGCTTTATAAGAAATTATCCCTTACCTAAACCCAAATCAGAAGCAGACCTTCTAAAAAAATGAATAGAGAAGTAATCAAACTTCTCTCTCAATTTTTCTTGTTTCCTCCACAAACCCTAATTTTTTCCCCAATTAATTTTTTCCCAATTAATTTTTTCCACAAACCATGTCACCTTCCCCATTTAATTTTTCCCCACCCTCCATCCCCAATTGTTTTTCCCGACACCCATACCCTCATCCCTTTGCTCTTCCCACTCCTCTTTCCCTCTCAATCTCCCATCCCCAAATTGAAAAATCCAAACAAATTAATAACAAATTTTTACAAGAGAAGCTTGCCAAAGGAACATGGAGAAACCTGGAGAACGAGAGAATGAGAGAGATCGCTGGTTTTTGGAATGAGAGAACGAGAGGACGAGAGAGTGGTTTACCAGGGGTCGGGTATGCGAGAGCTGAAGACGAGAGGGAAAGGAGGGCAATTTTGGGTTATTGAAAATTTCATTAAACATACCACTGTTCACCCTTGTTTTCGAAATAAGTTGTTTTTGGAAGCTGCTATTTGCAGCTTCAGGTTTTGGGCTTTTTTTCACCCCTAACTTTGAAATAAAGTTGTTTTTGAAAGTTTACCAAACATCAAAAATCCTCACAGTTTTTTTTCATCACAACTTTTTTATTAATCACCTCAATCCCAAACTGCACCTTAGCAGTCTTTTTGATTTCGAGGGTTCTCGTTGGCTAATGAAGCATATAGTTGAGGTGAGTCCCTATCAGTCTCATTAAAATTAGTTCATGCGAATAATAAACACGGGATTACATTAGCTAGTATTCCTAGCCAGTCCAGTAAAACTTAATGAGGCCAAACAAACGCGCCCTTAAAGTCTTAGTGACTAGCGGAATCAACAACGGATTTTGGAAAAACTAATTTCTTGTCTCAAGTAATAAAATGGTTGAAAATTATTGTATGGGTCGCGTTCTTTTTTCTGCTCTTGAAGTTTTGTCCTGCAAATTTTTTTTTGTAAAAAAAAAAAGTTTTTTCACTTATGCTCACCAATAGATTACGTCATTGGAAGAAATAGTTTGGAACCTTTGTTGACAGGGCATGAATATTCTGTAATACCGTGGTAATGATATCCATTACCAATAATGTACCATGAAATTTTGGTACGGTACAATACCGTATCATTACCGATTGGTACAAAAAATTTGACACAAAATTGGTATGGCACAGTTGGCAATTTGGTTGGGACGGCAATTTGGGAAAAAAAATCGACCCCTAGAGAGAACAAAAAGAAAGATAACGACATAAAATTGTAAATGAAAAAGTAATTAAGAAAAAAGAAATTTTTTAGGGTAAAGTACAAAAAATTACCTCAACTATTGGTGTCACGACACTTTCATACCTCATCTTTTAAAATTGACAATGTCATACCTCATCTTACGAATTTGTGTCAATGTCATACCTCCGTTAGTTTTTCTGTTAATTTCTCAATTAATTGCTGACGTGGCGTGATTCGGGACCCACTTTCTATTAAAAAATTATTAAAAACTAAAAAAAATCATTTAATATTTTTTAAATATTAAAATAATAAAGAAGGTTATTAAAAAAAAAAAAACCAAACAAAACTTCCCCCAGCCCTCTCTCTTCTCCCCCATCTTCATCTCCCTTCATCTTTTTCCTACCTATTGCAACCTAGAAAAAAAAAAATTATTTGTCCCTTACCCCCCAGGCGACCTCTCTCTTCTCCCAATCTTCATCTTCTTTCCTCTTCTTCCCCCTATTTGCTGCAACCCAGACAAAAAAAAAAAAAAAAACAAACAAACAAACAAAACTCCCCCCCCCCGCCCCCTCTCTTCTCCCCCATCTTCATCTCCCTTCCTCTTCTTCCTACCTGCAGCAACCCAAAAAAAAAGAAAAAAAAAACTAAACTTTGTCCCTCCCCCCCCCCAGCGGCACCCTCTCTCTTCTCCCCCATCTTCATCTTCTTTCCTCTTCTTCCCCCTATCTGCTGCAACCCAGAAAAAAGAAAAGAAAAAAAAACAAAACTTCCCCCCCCCCACCCAACCTGCAGAAGAAGAAGAGAGAGAAGGAAAAAAAAAAGGTCCCTCCCCCCCCCACCCAACCTGCAGAATAAGAAGAAAAAGAGAGAAAAGGGAAGAAAAAAAAGAAGGATACCAGTTCGTCCATCCCCCACCCCCCCCCGCGCGCGCGCGCGCGTATCCACCCTTTTCCCTCCACATCGATTCCTCCCATTTTCTCAGCGCCTAAGTTCTCAACGAGATCTGGGTTTTTTTTTTTTGGGTTGCAGGTAGTGGGTACGAGGTTGGGTGCAAAGGGTGGGTGGGAAGGTGGGGAGGTTGGGTGCGGAGAGTGGGTGCGGGGAGAAGAGGGGGTGGGGAGCGGGGAAGACAAATTGGATTTTTTTTCTTCTCTTTTTTCTGGGTTGAAGTTGCAGGAAGGGGGTAGAAGAAGATGGGGAGAAGAGAGAGAAGGGGGGGGGGGACGAATTGATTGTTGGTTTTTTTTTAAAATTTTAATATTTAAAAAATATTAAATGATTTTTTTGAGTTTTTGATAATTTTGTAATAGAAAATGGGCCCCAGATCAAGCCACGTCAGTAACGAACTGAGAAATTAACAGAAAAACTGACGGAGGTATGACATTGGCACAAACTTGTAAGATGAGGTATGACATTGTCAATTTTAAAAGATGAGGTATGAAAGTGTCGTGACACCAATAGTTGAGGTAGTTTTTTGTATTTTACCCAATTTTTTATTGAGCTTGGAACAAGGGTGGTACATCACGTGTCATTATATATATAAGGGAGAAGTTTTGTTTTTAAGGTGTCTAATTTTTTAACACAAATATCTCACCACTTGTATAATACACCTATGAGATGACCCACACATGTATAATTTTTGTCACTATCTGAAATAAATAGAAAACATTTTATCTCTATAAAACATAGCTTTATAATTTATCTTTATGTGTAATTGTTCCTTTGAATACAAATATAACAAGGATTAATTTGTAAAATTAAATAATTAAATAATAACCAATCGTACCACATAGAGACTATATGATAAAAGAAAAACTAATGAAAATTGCTTGAAAACTTTAAGTTTTAACAATAAAGACAAAATAAAGGGTAAAATGAATAGTACCATGATTAATTTTTTAGTGTAAAAATATGATTTTTCGTTAAAGTAAACAGTACCAGGAGTTTTTCGTTAAAGTTTCATATGATAAAATCAAGGGAACTTTAACGAAAAGCACCGGGTACTGTTCACTTTAATGAAAAACCACATTTTTACACTAAAAAGTCAATCCTGGTACTATGCACTTTACCCTTTATTTTGTCATTATCATTAAAACTCAAAGTTTTCAAACCATTTTCATTAGTTTCCTTAAAATCAATTGGCGCCCTTCATTACTCCTGGTGTGAAACTCGATATGAAAAAGTGTGTGTCAAAAGATAAGTACGTGTAAAAGAAAATATGAAAAAATGTGTACCAAAAAATTGAAACCTGACAGAAAAATTAGAATTAATTGCTAAGGGCATTTTTGTACAAAACTGTAAACAAATCAAATCTGAAAAGTAAGAAAACCAACCGACAGTTGGGTAACAAGGGACACACTAGCAAGATGCGTTCCCAGTTCACCGAAGAAGAAGAAGATATGACGCGCGCGAGTTCATGGATTTTAGTAGTGGTGATTGGTCCAGGGCATAAGACGAGGTGCATGCTCAGACTCGGACTCAGCCCCGGGACGACGATACCGCCATCCCCGACCTTGACGCTGACGGCGGTTTCTCTTCCCTGGAGGGAATGTTACAGCGGGCCACATGCCACTCCGATACCGTCCAATTGAAAGAAAAGGCGCGAGATGTCCAGCAATTGTGTCCCGCCGACCTAAAAGGCCGGCTTGAGATAAATCAGCTCATCGTCGGATGGGCAGCTGATGCAGATTGTGATTGAAAACTTGAGGAAACCGTCGCTGTCGTTGGGAGATCGGCATCGTGGTCTGGAGGGGCTGCTGGTGCTGGTGGAGCCGATTGATAATGCAAATGGTAAGTTGTGGGAGCCAAAAATTACTCCTCCACTAAACAAGCCGCTAGCATGCTAAACATGAGGAGTGAGGCTAAAATAAAGGAGCATAATCAGATCACTTCATGAAATGTGGAATGTGGAACATGAAGAAATAGAAGGAAAGTGGGACTTACAGCCCAAGACTTGAATGCCTATAAAAGGCTAATAATCCCACCAGAAAGGCAGAGAGAGGTATGAGATCGTTCTATATTTTACAAGCACCTTGAATAAAAACTGACTTTAGCGTCGGAGTGTATTCTTGCAGGTCCCCCACTCTCATTGATGGCAAGCAAAGATGATGCTTAAAGCTTCTCAACGTATTCAAGATTACTTGTTGGTGGAGAATTGAAGTATCTGAGATTTTCCGCTCCAACGGTTGGTGCCGTCTGTGGGAATTCGTACAAAAAAGCCGTATCGAGAAGTCGGTTTCCACCTAAGCCACAATGGGGGCACGGGCCAAAAACCCCAAACAGGGAAGCTTTCTATTCACTCTCTCTATTATTTCACTGACAGCAACACAACATATATGATATAATTATACATCTTCTTGCCATAGCACAATGTGGGAAATGATTGTTGCAATCCTTTGGGCTTTGGAGGATCATGAAAGCACTTTTGTGTAGAAATCTTGGACTCCAGTTATCTCCCTTTTATTTTGTCAAATATATTTACCACTTGAATTTTGGAGGTACTGATGTAGTTTCACTTCCAGCTTGGGGAAACGATCCCAAATTGTGACGCACAAGGTTCTATTGTATTAGGGGGTAGGGTCCTATGAAGCCAAGCTACCGCATCGTCATGTAACACCAAAAAGAGCCCAAAGTTGGATGCTCGACATGCTCATTATCAGTGGCGGATCCAGGATTTCAAGATCGAGGGGTCCCAACATAAAAGCTCAAAAAAAAAATATTAGACTAATTTGGTTCCATATTATTATTTTCTACTGAATTTGGTTAATTGAATAAATCAAGATTAATATCAAATGTAATAAAACCAACAAATTCTCCTCAGCAACATATCGCAAATAGTGACTCTACAAAGATAAAAGTTGTAAATGTAACATATATCTTATTAATTGGGAGTTGGGACTCTAGAGCTAGGATTTAAAAACTTATATAAATTTGGAAGAAATAAAATTAGGCAGCTAAGGGCGGTGGAACGGCAAATGGTGGTGGAGAATAGGGTAACTTGGGTTTAAAGTTGGAAGGTTGCAACGATTAGGGCTGTGAGTTTTTAAATATAATTTGGGGATACTGGAAAAGGCCGGAGTTCTCGGGCTCTGTAGAGAAAACATAGATATTTTAGTTTTTATAATGACCCGGCTCAAACTCCGCCGTGTAAGTTTATCTTACATTGCCGGTCCCAAGCCCGGATAAAGGAGGAGGGGGAGGGCGTCAGGTAGTCGACAGCCGGCACTCCATGATCACGTCGAATCCTTATGAAAATGAATCCAGAACAAAATCGCGATAAAGCTAGGGCGTCACCCGTAAGTGGCGCGCTGTGTGGCCCGAGCACAG